ACCACCAATACATTTTCTAAAAGCTTCAAAAATGACTGAAGAGTTGGGTGAACACATTTCTGATACAATGTCAACCAAAAGTGAACATCATAAAATATTTAAAAAAAAAGAATTTAGTAAGAACTGAGGAGACAGCTTCTTTTGACCACATGCATACAAACCATCAATCAGGTCTTTATTTATAGCTCGGCATGTATGTGGGTGTTACCAAGTGTGAATGCATCACTGGCTATTTTGAGGTCTTCATGCTCAATTTGTCAGTAATGATTCTGCGTATATTTTGTGCGTGTACTTGTTCACGAAGACCTGCATGCACTAAGGATGTAACAGTATATATTGGCACAGTCTGCTGCAATAGAAACAAGTGAAAAATATGAATTTTGGATCTAAAAATGCTAATAATAATTGTTAGTTGCAGCCATTTTATTGGAGTGTTTTCACCCCAGTGTATCAATCAGTGGTAGTAAAAGTAACACAGATACATTTAAACAAACTCTCAAAATACACACTTATTGAATAAATCATGACGCACATGAAGCATGTGGCTTATACATCAACGGAAGAGATGAAAAATAGCGAAAACAACAGATCTGTGAGGAGTGACGAAGGGACTGTAAGCTTTGTAAAATGAATATGTGAATCAAACATAAATGCCATATTTGCATCATGTTTTTAATGTTGTTTTTCACCTTTTGAGGTTTGACTGGCACTCATTTAATTATGCCATCTTGCTGCACCATCTTGTTGGAAATGCACATTGACTCACCTTTGTGTGCCACATTTGAACAGGATCATTCCTGTATTGTGTAACGTACTGACTGGTGAGCTGAATGTATTGTCATTGTGCACAAAGCAACAATCTTTTTGTGGTATGTGCCTGAGTTTCCCCAAATTGAGTTGCTTTTATTCCTATGTTATGCCTCATTTTCCACGCAGACACTCCTTATTGAAGCTGCCACAAGCTAAAAAGCTGGACTATGTAAATCCACCTGATTTACATAGCTGCATGCCTCTGGGTTGAGTTCTCACACAAAATGTATGCGGCGCAGATCAGATTTGAAGCAAAAGTTACTCTGTGAAACTTCCGATCTGTGTCGGAGGAAAGAAATCCTAATCAGGACACAGGAGCTGCAGTGTGAACCTAGGCTGTATGTGCATGGCTCCCCCCCGACAGACACACACACACGCACGCATACACTACTCTCTCTCTTTCCCCTCTATTTGGTGTATCACAGAAAGGTTCTCAATGCGAGGCATTTTGTTCTGCCGGATAGACAAAGCGCTCCCTGTTCACAGCCTCTTAGCAGCCACTTCACACGCAGCACAAGGTGGAAGCCCCGCAAGCTACTCTATTTTCCCATCAGCCCTTCCGCCTCAGTACTGCAAAGAGACTCCGGTTTGTGAATGGCAACGACAGCAGGGAGGGGACAGCACAACAATACCTGTCCAACACACACACACACACACACACAGACATTCAAGCACACACGTTTAGCTATAAAGTCATACTGCAGCCCGACTGTGACGTCCACTGAATATCAATAAGCGATTCAGGTAAAGAGGCTAAATACTTAATAAACACACCAAACACAGCTTAAAATGATGGTTAATTCTAGCGTATACGATTAAATTTTTTAGACTAAGAATTGTTTTAAGAGATCCATTTTAAAATGTTGAAATTAAACTGAACTTCTTCTATTGACATCTTGGTTAGTGTTGCAACAATTAATCACTTAGTGGATTAATCCTCCTACGGTGGAGTGGAAGATAAATAATGGCATAAGAGAGCTTAAAACAGATTTGTTCAACACAAAATTCTGTTTATTTTTACAGCTAACCTTTGCTTATTTGCTGCAAAGTTCTAGATAACTTCATCAGCATCTGAACATTATTCATATAAAACAAGGGCGAAATAAGTAAATAAATACTAACTGAGAGATTAAGATGAACTGCTGAATATATTAATCATTTTTTGCAGCCATTCAGTTGTTTCCAAGCATGGGTTTAACAAAAGAAGCTGAAGTTGTTGACTGGCAAAAGATATTTAAAAGATGCAAATTGACAAAATTACTTGCAACTGGAAGGAACTTTCATCATCACTTTAACAATAGTAGCAGTCAGTCTTGCCTCCCAGCACATGCAAAACACAAGATAAGATGTTCTGTATTACAGTGCAGTGCAGTACAATACACATGGTATCCAACTCAGAAGGATGTATCAGTTCCTTGCCACTGCTAAGCAGGCACACCCTGACCAGAGCGAACCCCCTTGTAACTGTGGGCGACCAAAGTGAAACAGCCCTGACGCCAGGCAACGTCTCACCACACACTGACTGACAAGTTAATGTAAGAGAGCCACTTCCTAAGCCATCCCAGCTTCAGGCATGGATGGGTGCAGAAAACAATTACTGGGGGAGACTGTGCAAAGAAGTAGATATGCTGGTGTGATTATGTATAGCTTAGTAAATTCTCGAGGAAATGGGAATCGTGTTTCGGTGGTATTTCCCTGAGGAAACTTCCTTTCCTTACCTTTCCACTGTTCAAACAACATATACCCCGCGAGCTGCAGGCCTCCATTAAACATTCAAACTGTATGCAGCGCCGGCCTCGAGGCCTGCTGCTAATCTCATATCCATGAGCAGCGAGGGCAACATGATAATGAGCCACCTCTGAACCGGACCGTGGAGAGCAATAAAACACACCCACAGCCTGCAGAGCTCACAGCGCTGCCTCTTTATTATTAAAACAGAAGATGCGCCTCATTGCTGCAAACACATTGGGACCTCTCCTCTTGCTTATCCATTAAAAAAAACACAACTAGACAGATGTGTTGAATGTTTTGCTTCACTTTTCTGCACTTCTACAAAAAGAAGAAACCCAAAAAGAAGGGGAAACTGACCTTTTACTGGCCATCAGCTATCCTAACATGACACCATCTAGTTCATCGTCACCATGGCTACACTAAGTACACAAGCATGGGGCATATTTATAGCATAGGAAGGATGGAATTTCCCATGCACAAGACGAGAGACAGAGATGAGCCCTTGCAATGGAGACAAGTCAGACAATGTAAGCAAAGCCTGGAGTTCACCATATAGCTTCCTTCACTGATCTAAAGTACCAGGTCGAACTGTCCGTCATACATTTTTCCGGCGTGGCCCAGGGGGTTGTCATGGAGACTGAGGCTGGCAGTAGCGTTATTGTGACCTTGGTGTCGGCTGAATGCTATTTGTCAGGATATTGACTCAAAACCTGAAGGAGTGTAAATATGCCTTTTTTTGGTCTCTCTCTTGCCTTTCTCTGCTTGTCATCATCCATCTTCCATTTCCTTCTGCCTTCCCTCTGATTTGCCGGATCTCTCTCTCTCTCTCTCTCACTAGCCCTCGAGTCTCACAAGTCCTCTCTCCCTCCATTAGACTGAAAATCTGACCTTCAGCATATCCTGAAAGAATTTCTGGCACTCTTAGCAAAGCTCTGTCAGAGGAAAAACACAGACAGCGGACATGGGAAAGATAAAACCAAAAAGGAACTGCTCCTTCAATCCCTTTACCCGTCACTCCATTATAGAATAAAAAAGGTTTTTAAACAAGAGTCAACAAATTAGAAATGTTCCAGGTTACGTGAATGCCTCCCAGTTCTAATCTACGAGATGCCACATGGCTGGTGCTCTTTGTTTGATTTGTCTGAGCTCTTAATGCCTTCATTGGATGAGCGGCTGGATTTACCTGCACATGGCAGAAGCCCTCATGCGTATTAGAAAGGAAACAGGTTAGGAAAGGAAAAAAAACTCTGATGGCATCTCAAAGTAAAAAATGTCATTACTTGTTGGGAAATATGTGATATGATGAGCATTATCCGGATGAAATCCTTCACTGTATATGTTTATATCACATTATCAATCGTTCTATCACAAACTTATATTCCCTTAAAACTGGCGCGCTCTTTGATTCGAAACATTGCCCATGATGCGAACTTACCCTGGACAGACTGTACGGCTCTACATTCATTTCTGAGTGTCGGATCATGTTGGATGTAAATGTTTTGCAATGTTAAAAAGAAAGACAAACAGACCACCAGTCATTGCGTCAAACACACAGCCAGTCAGACGCTTGGACAAAACTAAAAAAGCAATAAAAAGGAACCATGGATTCTACAGAGGGCCTCGTACTGTGTGTGAAAATAACAGCGTCTGTGTGAAAGTGAGAAGAGAAGCGAGAAATGTGGGGTACCATTCTTCACAGCTGTATGGTCTGTGGTGTGGGTATCTGTGTGTATTTTCTGACCTGGGAGATGTGGTTGATGGAGGACTCCATGCGGCGCAGCTGCGAGGCCTGGATGTCCAGCAGCTGGAGTACATTGTTGGCTAAGGCATTGATCTGGTAGGCCACGCTGGCCAGGGACTGGGTGGTGTAGGCTTTGGTCTCCTCCAGAGCTTTCCTCTTGTCCTGGGCCTATGCACAAAAAGGGATTAGAGAGAAGAGGAGAGAGAAAAAATAAAAGACATTAAAAAAGATGGAAGTGGAACCCAGTTACTGTTAATATCGCATAACATGTCGCATCCATCTTCCAGCCCCGTATCCAGGTCAGGTTTGTGGTGGATTGGGGCCAATAGAGCAGCCAAGACATCTTTTCGCCCCCCAACTTTCATTCTCCAGATACCTTGCTCTCTCTGGAGGGACTGTGATGTAACTCGTCCTGTGTGAACAGTGTGTGAACGGTTCACTACATTTGTGAACTCGAAGACTTGGAACATACTTAACATATCTTCACACATCTTAAATTTCCCCTTTCTTAAATAAGTATCTATCTATCTATCTTAAGACACTGAGAAAGTGACTAGTCACAATTCTAAATTAGCTAATAAAACATTTTAGGCAACATTCAGAATTTGTAAATGTATTCGGTCTTCACACTTGATAAAGCAATACTCATCCAAAATAAAAATAAAAATGTTAACATTTTCTATTCATTACACTTAACTAGGTCTGCTAGGTTGCAAATGGCAAACGCTAACAGCTAACTGCACTAGCAACAAAAAGAAGCTGTGTTTTATGCATATTGTTGGCAAACATTTGATAGCATATATTTGAATTTCAATGTACAGCTAACGTTTGTTCCCCAAAGAAGCAACCTAGCGTATGTGCAACCTTTATGCAGGGGCGCCTTTTAAGGTACACTTTTGTTCTGTTTGATACTCAAAACACAGGTTTTGGAGTATTTCTTTAATTGTTTTTAATAAAAGCTCATATTAGCATCAAAAGCACCAAGTAGTTGATTCAATACATTAGCTTGCTGGTTTGTTAGCTGCCTGAACAAGCACTTTCATTTGTTTCTGGCTTTGCTACGTAGCTAACCAGCCGGCAGGTTATTTTAACCTTCATGGTGCTTCTGGTGTTAAAAGTTACACTCCAGCTTTCAAGCCTACAGGCAACAAACCTCATTAGCATTCGCATCAGAAGCACCAAGCACTGGTTAAATTAATTAGCCTGCTGCAAAGTAAATAATAGCAATAGCATTAAAAAACAGGTCCTGTTTGCAATAGTCAGTAACAAACATTCTTCCACAACAACACTGACAGTCAGAAAGATGCAAAAAGTGGCTAGACCAGACAGGTAATGACGAGTTCACATCAAACGGGCCGAGGCAAAGAGCCAAGCTCCAAAATGAGCCATCATGTTTGATCTCTGTGGGCTCTTCCCAGCACTGCTCCCTCATAAAGTTGAGTCCAAAGAGCGCTGCCTGGAGGGGCAACAGTGGCCTTTGATAACAGGCTGCCGTAGCGGGGAGGTATGGCGGTGGCAGAGGAGATGATTATTGGCGGTAGCGGGAAGAAAGGGGTCTTCACGAGAGGACAAAATGAAAACAACCATGTCATTACTGATTCCCCGTGGCAGCGCGTAACTAATCCAGAAGCAATCCGTACAGCTAAAAGCTCCTGACCTGGAGAGCTGCCGTGCCGGTTAGCCTCGGCCAGGTTGAGGTCAGTGCGCTTTCTTTTAGCGTGAATCAGAGCGGCAGATGTGTTGTGAGATAACGGCCTTAGGTCAGAGGAGAGATTCCTCCGGAGGGCTCAGGGCGAAAGGCCATCTGTTGAAAGCACACAGTCATTCATGTGCACACACAGACACCTACTACTGACACTGCCATACGCAGTGTGGTGGAGGGAGCAACAGCTGCAGGAAAACGTGTGAAAACAAACAAAAACAGCCTCAGATACATGACTTCTTATGAGCTTCTACATGGCCAGAGAATGTAGTTTTTGCTGTGTAAGGGACGTGACATTTCCAACAACTTCATGAACATATGCTTGGCTGTACAGAACTGCTGGCATACAAATAGAGCAGAGAGTCAGAGATGATTACTCAAACTACAAGAATGTCTCAGCACTACAGTTTTATTTCGACTGTAAAAATCCTAAAACTAAACGTTTTGTAGAAATTCTTAAAACTATACAGCAAATAATTCAAATTGCAACTGTAATTTTTTTTTAAACTGTTTAATTAAAGACAGAAGGTCTGGTTTACAAAGTTGAGGTTTGGAGTTGGAAACATGTGGGTGTTTAAGTGTAGGATCCTTGGTTTTTGACTCATACTGCTTCTTCAGTCTATCTTAAAAACCCCTCAACTTTATACAAATCCAAGAATACATTGCTGGGGTATCCCTTTAACTTGGTTTTGTCAATGTCTTGCAGCTGCAGCGCATAGACAAACAGCACCATTGATCTGCTGCTATCGAACTTAAATGCTCCACTGTGATATGTAAAGAAAACTACATTTACATCATTCATTTGTAGAAACTGAACATAAATAAAACAGCCATCTGCTGTGATTTGCAATGCAAATTGCATTTGTAATATTAACAAACTGCACAATAACTCGGTTTTGTCTTGCAGCTGTAACGTGCACGGACCAACGGCACCATTGATGCTTCAGCGCACGAATGCTGTGATGTGTAAAGAAATACAAATGTACATCCTGCATGTCTCACAAACATATTGGTTCAAAGTAGTCCCTGCTTCCACCCAAAGCACAACATGTGATGTTGCTAAGGCCACGTTTTTCAATGGCTGCTTTTGTAAAAATGTGTCCAATCCACTTTCATACTCTAGGGCTTTATCATATAGTCCGCATGAATGCTTGCTTTATTCCCCAAGTAAGAGATAAAGATGGAGTAAAGAGACGTGTTTTCATATAAGCTTCAGAAAAAGAACAGAACTGTCTGTTCTGACAGCCAATGGCAACATCGCCATGAACAAACATTTTGTCTATCACCAGCTACAAGATGAAATGGCACAAGATGACCAGCCTGTATCCGTTTTAAATGCCTTAAAATGAGCGCATCAGTGACTATCAACAGTCACATCCTCTACTACAGTTTCTCTGCTTTTTTCTGTCCCCAGTGACACACTGACTACAACTACAATGAAGCCAGATTCACTTGTTAGGAAAGCTGATTTGGACAGGGACAGGGGCTGACATGGGCTACTCTTTCCTTTCCTGGTTTACATTGGGTTAAATCTTTAGCCTTGTGTTAATCATACAACTGTTCAGTCTGCTCGATCAGTTGCACAGAATGTTGTTTTTTTTCTCTAAAACACAGGGTGAAATAAGCTGACTCATAAGCGAGTCAACATGTGGCATGGTGGAATCAGCTTCTTTACCAACTTTCTTTGTAACTCTGGATAAACTGATCTGAACTGCGTGAGCTGCCAGAGCTGTGATGTGAGGTCCGCGGTGGGCGTTGGGAGGACAGATGCGACACTTGATTGCATTCTTTCTAGTCAAAACCCCCCTCGTCCGCAAATCCATGAAACTAACAACATTCGTTGTTCAATTACTCAAGAATGTTTACCCCCTATGACATCCGTCTTCGGCGAGGAAGCGGCAGGAGTACAGTAGATATTCAAAACACCAAAACAGAGCAAACGGTGCGAGAGACACTCGTCAGCAAGAGGAACAAATTGTGTGCTTGCCGAGTGCAAAAGGTAAATAAGAGCACCGGAGAGCTGAGTGTACTATACCGCAGCAGGAGATGCAGAGAGTGAGGTGAGCTCCCAGAGAGCTTTAGCACTCCTGGGGCACTTTATCTCATATTTCTGAGCTGAGTAATGACTGAAAGAGACTGCAGAATATCCAGGCATTAGTAGACAGCCTGTCAGCACCTCATCTGGGTTTAAAAAGGGAGTACAGAGGAATGCACAGTGTGTGTGTGCGTGTGTGTACGCACAATGAAATTATAGCTGGGAGCTGAGGCAAGCTAGATAATCAAACAAACACTTGAATAGAGCAAAAGTGCAGGACCAGCCGAGCAATGTTTGAAGATCTCTTTAAATGACTGACTGCAGACGCTGCAGCAGGCGTGTGTGCGCGCGCTGATACATTTGGGAGGAATAAAGGAGTGGCAGTCACAAGCACCGATTTGTTTTTGCTCAAAAGCACTGAACTGGTTAAATACTTTCACCCATCCAGTCTGGCAAGATAACGGCCAACAACCGCCACTGAAGTGCAAATGTTCTT